GTCCATTTACCATTTACCATAAGTCTTTTCACAGTGTCTGAAACGCATGACGGCGTAGAGCGGTCCCCCTCAGCTTCCAGTTGATGAGGGTTCGGGCATGGGGCGACGTGGTGTGGCGCGGCTGCGCCGGGCAACTGTCATGCAGGCCCCAACGTTGGGAGATGGCGAGGTCCCGCCCAATGCTACTTGCAGTTTTAATTATTGATGATTTTTTTTTTTGTTTCAAGGTCCAGTGTATAGGATTTAGTGGCGTCTAGTGGTGTAGTTACGAATTGCAACTAACTGAATACCCAAAAACATCAAAGGTCCTACATCCAGTATCTACAGCCAGTGTTTGGTTTGTCTGTTCTGGGCTACTGTAGAAAAACAGTGGTTCAACATGGCTTACCCACTCCCTCTGTAGATAAAAACAGCTCAGTCTAAAGTACGATTGTTACATTTCATTCCCTAATGAAAACATACATTTCTGCCAATAGATCCTTAATGTTACACACTGGACCTTTAAGTAGCCATGTGCTGAGATCTTAGCCACCTTACTAAAGGCCCTCACCTGATGTCCTCCAGGTCGTAGTAAACGTTGCGGCTGTTGTCTTTGATGTAGATGGCCATGCTTGGAGACTGCAGCATCTTCATGGTGAGCTGATGGGGGAAGGCGGTGACAAACAGAGCTCGCAGAGAATCCTGACTGCTGATCTCAGTGGGTATCCTGGCCTGCTTGGTCTCCTCCCCATACTGCAGGTACAACACACCTGACACAGCACATACAGGCAGGGAGGGCTTTAGTCTGTGACTGGACTAATACCAACACATTGACATGTGACAACAATAGTACAGTATACACAGTGTGTCTGACCCCTTCGTCACTGACCGTGTAAAGCCACTATTATACTCTACACATTAGCACTGTATATATCAAATATATCACTCTAAATATGCAGGGGATTCACAGTAGTCATACTCTTCTATTCAGTGGTTGTTGAAAACCATTTACAGTTGACTCTGACCTCATAAATTGTATGGTTTAAACAAATGACAGTGTTTCTACTAGAGTCCCATCTGTGGCATATTGTAATGTCATCAAACCATAATGACCACAGTTAAACAACACCTCTCTGCAGTGTAAAAAAAAAACTGAACATTGTAGGCTTGACAAAGATGGAATTCATTTTAGATCAGACCTGCTTTCAGCTTCAAGTTAAACTGAGAGTTCCCTGAGGTCACCAAACTTCAAAGAATTGGAATGGTTTAACAGGAGAGTATAGCGCAGTTCACACTATGTGATTTTTGCCCTGATTTTCCACTTGGCGATTATTTTGGGAGATCGCTGACAAATGCTCCCAGATCAGAGGCATCCTCAGGTGAGGAGGAGGATCGCATTGTGTGTATTGTTCAACAGCGACCCGCGGGATTGACAAGAGCTTGCCGATGCCTCGCCATCGAAAAAAAAATCTAGCAGGCTAAATATGTGGTCGTGTCAGAGACTGGGGGAGCCATGCAATGAGCTACAGCCAGTTAGAGTAGACACAGTTAACCTCTCTCTACAGCACCATACAGGAAGCAGCAAACCGGTAGTTACTTTGGTAACAGCCGAAAAAAACTCTTGTGCTTACCGACACACACACAACATAGACAGACAATTAACAGCATTATCAGTCGGTGTTCAATGTGGCATGTACTGTATCTTAGTAAGATTTTTTGTAAGAAATTTTTGAAACGGTCCACTTCTCATACCCTCATTTTAAACTACTTTCCTAATTAAACATGATGTGCTTGTTATTAATTACTCCTGATGAAACCTAGTTGGCAGACACCACAATGACTGCAAGACTCCCAACAATAAGACTTTTTGTGTAGTCTGGACAATACAGAGATCTGACCACTCTAAAAGTCATGTAGTGTGTCAAAGGCTACAATTACCACACACTCATAGTCCTGAGGAGAGATCTGTTACCACAGCAGGGGTTCCCAAACAAGGAACCTCACAATAGATGCACATTTGACCACGGACCTTCAATTCCAGTTGACTGCACGAGAGGGGGAGAGCAAGGGGATACTAGGTCATAGACTGTGGATGTTTTGTTCTAATTGTAGATCTGTTTTATTTTTAAGAACTTTGGTACTTTCGATAGTATCAAATGTATAAATAACAGAGATTGTATTTTGTTTTTACACGTGGTATCAGAAATCTAATTATCAATAAATTACAATGAAAATGAAAATGAAAACCAAAAGAATGTGTCTACTTACCAAGGGGCCTCTCTCTTGTCTGACCACTCGACCGCCCCACAGGTAGACTTGCTCTGGCTTTACAGCCCCTTGTGAAGGGGGCTGTGGGGGGCAGCACCTCTCCATCAGACATGGCCTCTGTGGCCAGAGGGTCCTGCTGCTCCACCAAGCCTAGTACACCTGCACAGGTGGGGCTTTCAGAGGGTCGGGGACTCCCCACCTGGATATAATGAAAAAGAAGAAAAAAAGATTTTTGTCCTGCAGAGAGAATAGCATCATAGAGTCTTGCAAGTCCTTGGAACAGGACAGAGGGTGAGACGGTTTCAAACTTCCAGTTGGCTTTTTCAGAAGGGCAATACATACAATTGTTACAAGGTGGTTCATCAGAGGAACACCTTCCTCATTTCTGTATTAGTCACATATTACTAACTGTAACATCCACAATGCTTGCCAACACTGTGCATATGTCTCGGGTTCACAGTGTCAGCCAAGTATACTTACTTTCACCTGGTAACATATTTTAATGTCAGTGGAGGGTGGGAGAAGTCAGGTCAAGTCAAGTCTACCGATCCCCGTAGGGAAACCCTTTCTCTGCATTTGACCCAAGTACTAGGAGCAGTGGGAAGCCACTGTACACTGCCTGGGGACCAACTCCAGATGTAAGCCTTGGTCAAGAGCACTGACTGGAGAATTAACCTAACATACATGTTTTGATACAGAGAGTGTATGGCTTGGACACAGTTAGTTTTACTTTCCTCTTACCTTACCACAGTTATACGTTATTGGCATTTCAGTCAGACAAAACTACTTCCAATTATATACAATAAACTTTTAAATAAAGTCCAGGACTGCTGGAGTCTGGTGTTTTCATTCCAAAATTAACTTTTCATCAGAATATTTTAAAATTAGGCATTAACACAATATTTAACAAAACAAATACTACATATATTACATCACACAGGATGAATATAAGTCCAATTCTGAGTTGTCTACTCATTGGCTTGGCTACTTCATGGTTGGGAAGCCAGTGAGGGATCATGTTGTTCTCTCTGCATAGTATCCTTGTGTACCTCCTCAGGACAAGAGAAAGAGTTGGCAGCAATAAGGACTGTAGTGCAGTCTGGACAAAAACTGTCAATTAAACAAACAAATTTTCTCAGTCTTGCCTAAGGTCACTTCAAATACAATTCGGTCACCTAGGGTCCACAATGGGACATTTGAAGATACAAATGATAAGGATACAAGTTGACTCAATCACAACAAGAGTTTGTACTCCATTATTTTACCTTCCAGGAGAGTACTGATGAATCAAGAGTTGCATTCTGATCCCAGTGATGAAAATGCTCCAACAGCCAGTCACAACTGTCTATTGATAAAATGGATAGGACTTCAGCTTGCATACCCTCAGCAGCCTTCACTACTCCATATGGCTGCCAGAAAGCCCATAAAGCTGCACTCCTGCCTGCAGTATGTAAAGGAGGCACTGTAAGAAGTAGTCAACCAGACTGGAAGTGAGTCAACCTATATTGGTTTAAAAACTGGTTGCTGAGCTGAGAAAGATGGAAAACCTGGTCCACAAATACGGTTGGATACCGAGACATTGTGCCTTTACAACTTGTATCTATCAGACTGAATCACTGCACCTGCCATCACTAGTTAACATTATGGTAACTATCTCACTACATGGCTCTAGCTTATAGCTACCTTAAACATAGTTAAAATGCAGAGTTAAACGGTATACAGTATGGCTGTATTTCACTAGAAAGGATTCCAACACCGGACGGGACGTCTAACAAATATTATTTGTGAGTGATAATATTTCTGTTTGAAGCTAAAGTTTGTAGAATATCAAGAATACTTACTCAAAATGTAGTACTGTAACTGTTAGTGTTAAATTATTCAAGTTGGTTTTACTTATTATGTGAATGTTATGTAAATATATGTAAATATAAGTGTTTTGTATTAATTGATATCAATATAGTGTTGTCACGATACCAAAATTATTGTTTTGATACCGATACCAAGTCAAAGGAATTGCAGATTTTGATACCTTTTTTAATACTTTCCTGAAAAGGGAGAAACCACTCTCAACAATACCTTACTCGCTGTGCCCATTTTTTACACACACAGGGCAACACTAATATCAAATAAATTACAGCAGACAAATGAATGAAACATATGAACACCTAGATAATTAAACATTTTGACAAAAATATCGAAATATCAAAAATATCCCCCGCCTAAGCTTAAGCTGGAGGGTTTGGCTGCTGCGGTTTTGGCTGCTGCTTCTGAGGGAGTTTGCTCTTTCGGAGCCCGAGGCTCCAGACTTTTCTGTAGCAGAAGAAATGGAAATACTTAAAATACATTGGTATCCGCGGTGATAAATTTGTCAATAACAGAGAGACTACAAATAGTTATGTGATACGTAACAATACCTGACTTGACACTTAGCATCCTCTATATGCAGTGGTTATAATGGATGAACTGGCTAACATTTTACTTAACGTTTAAACATAATACATAATTGAATTAGATAGGAAACTAGATGAGCTCTTAACCTAATGGTTATTTAAGCTTAGTAATCAATATGGATTAAATACTGAAGCTAATGTTCTCTGTACCGACTCCAACGTCCTGAATTCTCTTGATGGTTATCTCCTATATAAAAATGAGTCCATCCATTCTTACAATGGCCGTTTTGGACAATACACCCTCTTGCGTCCAGGTCTATGCCTCTTTAAATCTGTAATGAACCCAATATAAATACAATCACTGACAAACCAGTGCACATTGGCTCTGATTACCCAAGAGATCACCATATATGCCTATCACGATCATATTTTAGCTGATGTTTATGTTATGCTTATTTTACCTTTGCAAAATTATTCAACGGTTATCTGTGAAAGTGCGTTTCAAGAGATGTTGAATCTATTGGTTAAGCCCATGAGGAATAATGCCCATTAGTTAGCCTACTATCTCACGGGGTCAACTACGTGGTGCAAAATAGTTGACATTCTGCACCAAAATAGACCGCCTAGCTCTGAGCGAGTTTACAGGACATGAACGTTGAGTCGTGTTGCTTTCCACATACCTAACCTGTCGGTCCTTTAAACTCCCTTGTACAACTCCGGCCGTGCTACCTGCTTCGCAGGTTCGAGCTGTTGGCTCCGCCCTTTGTTTACATTTGTTTACATTTGTTAGTAGCACTGACGACAAAGCCAGACTCTCGGACTTTACGCGTAACTTTGCCCTCATTGTCAGCAAGGTAGGCAAGTACTTCCATATTTCACTCCCTCGGCGTCATCTTTTTCTTAACAGTCCGGGACCGCGGCGGGCCCCAACACGTATCACTCCACGCGTCCGCACAAGCGGTACATGCACCGTCTCGTTATAGTGTTTTTTTTTGTCAATGAAAACAGCCTGCACCTTTCTTTGCTGCGTGCCGTGAGGCAGAAACAACACTAGACATCCCACAGGGAGGCGCACTGGAAGCATGCGTTACACCCACCAACATGAAATAAGTCTCTTACCAAATCTGGAAACGTGGTCCATTCTTAAAATCCTGTACTAATAAATTTAGAATCGGCGGACGTTTTTAATTTCTGAGCAATCGCGATACTTTTGAAGTATCGGTGTACCGTGCAACACTATATCAATATGTTTAAGTACTTTGAATTTCAAGTTCAAATTTACCTTATCAATATAAAAAGCCATTATTTAATGATGTTGACAGTCATTTTGTGCTCCTTTTTTTTAACGGTTTAGCACCCGTATCAGAAATATATATATATATATATATATATGATCATGACAACACAAAATGACATCTAGTCTGATTTTTGGTTTATATATGACCACTTAGCCTTTGAAGACATAAGACAGATCTGCTAAACATGCATGCTTAAGTCTAGAAGAGTCAGCAATGTGTTAATTGTATAATCCATACCTGTATAAATAATTGCATCACACACAGACACAGACAGACAGACAGACACACGCACACACACAGAGAGTGCACATTTTAATACACATCAGGTGTTAATATTTACTCTGCTTTCCAACCTAGCTGTCAGACAAAACACACATGTGAAGCTCACATACGCAGGCCCGCATGTCAACATTAGACAGTGTGTGTCCCCACAGTTGCTACTAGCTGTAGAACACCATACACTCTGCTTCAGTATGTGCCAGCACATTTTTACATCAACTTCAAGACAGCTGTCACATTCCATTATACAAATAAGCTGATAAAGTGCAGCAGTTGTGTGCACTGGCTCAGTGCTCCATGTTTTTTAAGACAAATATAGGTGTGTGTGTGTGTGTGTTCCTCTAACTTTCTTATGGAGCAAATGTTGTAAATATAGAAAGATGAAAAAAGGAGGCTACTTGAGGTGAAGAGACAACATAATACACCAGGGGCCAGCTGTTCCACTTCCACGCAGAACTTCTTCTGTAGAGCTTGCTACATATTTACACCTACTAGATGTTTTTGCTCTCTTTTACCATTTACTAACTCACTGTCATTTCAGATCCTACCACTCCCTGCAGTAACCCCTTTGTTCCTGCCATGAATCATGTGCTCAAATTGTAACTAATGCTGAAGTATTTAGCCAGAATACTGGTGGATTTAAAAAACAGTATTTAGGCAAAATACTGTCAGAAATGAAATATTATTCATAGGTATGTTTTCATTAGAGTATAATCACCACAAAATAAGAATTATTGTGGTTTTGTTACCTTAGAATCAGCTGTTTTTATCTACAGAAGGAGTGGGTCTTCTTCTACAGAGTCCACCATGTTGAACCGCCATGTTTCTACACTAGCTCAGAACGGACAAACATGAGGGACAAAAGATGCCCCTGTGTTTAACCGTGTGTTAAAAGCAGATAGCAGACTAAAATAATATTTTACATGGATAGACCAGGCAACAGAATTCATTGGTAGACGTCTCAATCGCATTTAGGCTAGTTTTGGCCGACAAAGCGTACTGGTAACAACTGCAAGAGAAAGGGAACTGGTGAAAGTCCACCTGCTAGGACCAGACCAGATCAAGAAGAACTGACTGCCACTTTATTGTGGTAAAAAGTCTGAATGGAAAAGGTGCCAAGATGACAGAAAATTATGATGGGGCAAAAAATATGCATATTAAAGCATCTTTGAGAACTGGACTTCTGGTGAGCGTTTCAAGATGGCGGCACGGATTGAAACCTCTCCGGGTCA